ACTAGCAGGCCCAAATAGAAAGCAAGTGGAGGAGAGACTCAAAACAAACCCAGGCCCCTTTGCAGGGGATGAGCAGCCCACGCCGCTTTGTTTCTCCTTGGCTTTGATGTCTGCCGAGAGGCCTGATCTCCCTGTTCCCGGACCCAGCCCGTGGCTGGAAATCAGGGGTCATGGAGTCCGGATACAGGATGCAGCCATCTCAGCAGCTCTGCTGAAGCCCGGGGGGGACACTCACCATGCACCTTGGGCACCTTGGCTTTCAGGTGTCGCTCGCACTTGGCCTTGGCTTTTAGCAGCAGGAAGATCTGCTCCTCCTTGGTGATGACATCGTCCGCATCCACCTGCGGGGAGAGAGGCACAGGGCATCAGTTCTGGCTGCAGCCAACACGGCAGGTGCAACAGGCCGGTACTCAGCACACCCGGGCAGGCCATCAGAAGATCTCCGATGCCTGGGCCAGCCTTGCTGGGTTTGGAGACACCGCGCCAGAAGCTCCGAGGCATTGCATTTAAGGAAAAAATATTGCATAGCACAAACATTTAATAGGCAGAGGTTTTTTTGGTTTGGTCCTTCGAATAGACTTATAGACAATGAAGGTTGAAGGGACCTCAGGAGGCCACATCTAGTCCAAGTCCCTGCTCCAAGCAGGGCCAACCCCAACTGCATCATCCCAGCTGAGGCTTTGTTGAGCTGGGTCTTAAAACCCCTCAAGGATGGAGAGTCCACAACACAGAATCATAGAAAAGTATCAATCACAGACCATGAGGGTTGGAAGGGACTTCAGGAGGTCACATCTAGTCCAACCCCTTGCTCCAAGCAGGACCGTCCCCAATCTCTCTAGGTAACCCATTCTAGTGCTTCACCACCCTCCTCATGAGAAGGTTTTTCCTAATATCCAAACTCAACTTCCCTTGCTGCAGCTTGAGCCCATTGCTCCTTGTCCTGCCATCTGCCCCCACTGAGAACAGCCCAGCTCCATCCTCTTTGCAACCCCCCTGCAGGGAGGTGAAGGCTGCTATTCAATCCCCCTTCTCTTTTCTCTTCTGCAGACTCAATCAGCCCAGTTCCCCCAGCCTCTCCTCACAAGCCATGTGCCATAAGTCATATGGGATCAGATGGCAAAAAATGCCCAATTCCAGGATCACTGCATTCAATGAAATGTAATTTGGCAGTCCTGTTTCAATTGGACTCTTTCAATTTGGATAATTGTCTCCTACTGTGACGGAGTTGCCCATCCAAGCCCGCTGTCCCCTTGTCAGGTGTTTCTGTCCTAGTCCATGCATAAGGGACAATTTAAGAGGGACCTCAAGATGGAGAGCTGATTTTAAAGGAAATGTCCAGACTCAAGGATCTCCCTGCATCCCCATACATTGTGGCTGCTTTCCAAATTGCCTGTTGCACATGACACAAAACTCAGATTTTTGCTGCCTTTGTTAGGATAGTTACTGTGCGCGTCTGGCCACACCAGGCGGCATCATTGCAGCCCTTATTCAGCGGCACTTGCCAAGCTACTCAACACACAGCAAGGAAGGGGCTTCCTCGGGTCCCCGGACTGCAAGGCCAGAAGAGACGGGCTTGCTTCTGCACAACAGGGAATTGCAGCAGCTGATTGCTCCATGCAGCTCCAGAGGAGAGTTGCTCTTGCAGGGGGAGAGCCAGGCTCAATTGAAAGATTGTCAGGGCCTGGGCACTCACCACATCCCCGGGGAATGGTGCTGGGGAAGAACCAACTGCCTAGTCCCAGTCCCTTCCCTGGTCTGCACTAGGGGTAGCGCACCTGTACCTCACTCCTTGGCAGGGCAGGACACAGTCTCTGCTAAAGGACTTGGGAAACAGTTATGAAGTATAATTATCATATCCTACAGATAAGGAAACTGAGGCACACAGACATTGGGTGAAGCAGGTTCGAGTTTCAACTCCACCACAGATTTCCTCGGAGCTCTTGGGCAAGTCACTTTGCCCCCCCGGACCCCCACTGCTCATCTGGACAATGAAGGGAGCTAATAGCACTGCCTGAGCTTATGGGGGGCACACGGCATGATGACGATGAACCCATTAAATATTACCGGGTGCTCAGCTGTGGTGGGGAGCAAGGGCCAGACAAGCAGCTTAGTGTCTTTAGAAGATCCCATGCTGAAGCAGTAGAGGGGCTAGGATATGTGGTTGAGCCACTTCATCCCCAGGATGCCAGCGTCCGTAGCAGGCAGGGATGCAGCTATTACAGTGCTTGAGGGGAGCATGATGTGTCCCCCACCGTAGGAGCACAGAAAAATATACCACCAGGCAACAGCTGGGCAGTGATACCAGCCCTACCCCTCCGGACATCCCTTCCCCAAAATCCCAGTGGGGTTAAAAAGAAGACAGAGCCCTACCCCATGAATGCAAACAACCTGCCTCGTCTGGCCAAGGCTGCTTCCTTCCGTCGGCCCTTCTCCACATGGCACTGGCCTCCATCCACATCCTCCCTAAATCCCAGAGCAAACACGGACGGCGGGGAGTCACGCTGGCCAGCCCTGGAGCTGCTGCCACCTGCCCCTGAAGCCTGGAGGGCTTGGGGAGCGACTGGGTTATACCTGTGACAGCCATGGGGAGCAAAGGGCTTCGCTGCCTGGTGCTTGGCTGCTGTCAGGGTCCCCGGGTGAAGCGGGGATGTTCAGGGCCTTGCTCTTGCCCATCCGACTTGGGGGGCATGTGCATCCTCACGGCTGGGGGGGATCTGGGTGCATTACAGCAGCATCGAAAGGTAAAAGCACAATGAAGCCTGACCCCCCTCAAAGGACTGAGAAACTCCTGAGACAACACAGTGCCGAGGGCTGCGTCCCTTTGCTGCAGACCAGCCGAGGGGTCAGGGGGGTGCTTCTTTGCACCCCTTTCACTTGGCATCTCTATTCCAGCTGCATGGGGCTGTCTCCAGGGCTTTGGCCTGGGTCATAGCATTTGGATGATGGTCACACCTAGACAAGCGATGCATGTGCCCGCTAGGTCTGAAGATGAAATTAGGCACATCTGGGGTCGGATGCAGATGCTTCCCCTGCATTGGCATCTGATGCAGACTTTAAAGTCGTTAAAGCCTTTCCAGATGCAGGGTGGAGGTGGACGGGGCTATTAAATGTATATCCCAGGCAGGGAAAGGAGGAAAGCCACAAAGGGACCTCACTTTACATCTCAGATTTGAGCAAGTCCTGGGGCTTCTCTCTGCAGGCACTTAAGGAAGCAACCAGAGGTCGGATTTGAAGCGAATGGACCTGAATTAACCCCCCGCTTCTTCCTCCCCGCCGTGCAAACACTGTTATTCAGAACGAATGCGGCTTTGATGCGATTCCCTCTGGAAGTGAAGTAAGTCGACTTGGATGGCAGCCCCTTGAATGCTGAATGAGGGTGTCTATCTGGCAAGGGAATACAGTTTTTTTAGCCCCTTTGAAAAGTTAGCTCAGATGAACATCCCCAGGAACAAGACTTTAGGTGCTCTGGAGGAGAGAGGGGAGGGAGGGAAGGAAGGGGAGGCTGGAAGGCAGCAGGAGTGAGTTTTTCAAGCTTAAAAAAAAAAAAAAAAAAAAAAAGAAACCCCGTAAAAATCCTTCCTCAGAAGCGGGGAAGCTTTCAAAACCACCGGCATACTAATGCAGAATAAAGTCATCTCCCGCCAGATGTTTGGCTGAGCTGCATTTAAAGCAACACGGAGCCTCCCAGCCCTCTCATAAAGACTGCTGGGCCAAATCCTGCTCTTATTTACACCTGTGCAGATTGAGAGCAAGGTCAGCAAGGCACCGATGCCTGGAAGATGGGGCAGAGTCCAGGCCCAGGGCTTCATTAAAAGGCTCATTCAATCCGCGCGGGTTCTTAATATCGCTTTAATTGCTGCTTACACCCGGGTGGGAAAATGCACGCAGCTCACTTGCTTTCCGCTTGCTAAGGCAGCTGCCTGTTTCGCAGGCCTCCGTTGATTATTTTATTGCTGGGGCTTAGTGTCTTAGAGACCCCCCTGGAGATCAGACTCCCGTTGTGCTAGGCGACGCTCACACACACATGCAGTCAGGCACGGTCTCGGTCTAGAAGAAGTTATGATCTCCCCAGATGAGCCACCCGAAAACATCAGTCTGTGCTCCAGATGGGGAACTTGAGCCCAGAAGAGTCAAGTGATGTGCCCAAGGCCAGACAGGAAGGCTGTGGCAGCACTGAACTGACCCCAAATATTCTGCTTCCTAGTTACTGCCCCAAACGTCCACAAGCCTTTAAAAAAAAAAAATCATGGGATTGGTTTATAAATATTGGGGATATATTCTGGATTTATCAGACACATTCTCTGGGCTCAAGCCCATGCTGTGCATTTGGGTCACGCTTTCCAGCTTTTCTCCATCACCACAAGGACTAGAAAGGGACTGCTTTTTTTTTTCCAGAATGAAAGACAAGAGTCTGATGCAAATCCTGCGACTCCCAGAGTTGGGGCTTTATGGAAATCCCTACTTTTGTGACACTCAGGAGAAGATCAGTGGCAGGGATAGTGCCACAGTACAGTGCTTTCCATACAAAAGCAGTAAAACCCTCTCCATCTGCAGAATGAAATGCAACTGCTCCCATTCACTTGCTCTTTGGTCCTCATTGTCCCTCTCCAGTCTCCTGCCCCGAGACAATACGGACGCAACGGTATTTCCCACATTACTCTAGAAGACCAAAATAAAGCAGCAGACCCGTGTCCACTGCAACATGGGCATATTTGCAGCCACCGATACTGGGTTTTGCCACGCTTCCTTCTTCACAAGCAAGCCTCAGTTTTGGTCCCAAACTATTTGCAAAAGGCTCCTGGCTAAAGAGGTTAGCAAACACTTAGGCCAACTTTTTTGCACATCTGACGCCTCTGGACACCACGATACTCAATCAGTGCTTCTCTTTCCAGAGGTGCTGGCATTTGGGCTGTTAATGACTGGGGTTAACCTTTGCAAGGCGGTCGCTGATTCTGGCGCTCTTCCATGTCGGTTGCCTGATAGGAACTGAGCTGGGCACAGTTCCCGGAGGGGCTCATCCCTGCCCCATCGTGAGTTGATGGGCACCACAGGCATTTAACACCTCCAAACAACAGGTTTCAAGCAGGCCATGGAGGGTGCCCCAAATCCGGGGCCTCACTTGAGACTTTGTAGGATGGTCCAATGCCAGCCTCCTAAGGAGGCCAGTTTGATGGCTCTGTGCTTCAGTTCTCAGACAGGGGGAGAGTCCGAAACACAGGGGACGCGTCGTCACATGAGCAATGCACTTTAGTTAATGCACATTAAATCTAGTACCTCCTAGGAAAATGCACATTTGCCTGTCTTCATGAGCATTAGCTAAAGAGCACAGGGTGTGTCTACA